CTCCAGTCTGTACATGCTGAAAGGGACTAAACTAGCATGTGGTGTGCTCATATGCTTGTTTATGTCAGTGCTATTGGTGTTTGGAGAGGTGCTGGTAAAAGCTCTGCTCTCACTCTGTTGGACTGTGCAGTGTGAGTTTGTGTTTGTTTGCTCGGGAAATGCCTCTCTGCTGACCTGGGAAGGGAACTGCAGCAGCTTTATTCTTAGGTAAGTGTATTTTGGGGATCTCCAGGGCTCCACGTCAGGTTTTGCTGGGCTGCAAACAAGGAAAAGGCCTAGGGCACAAAAACTGCTGGGCACAGAAACTCCCTTTCACTTGAAGAAATAGTTATCCCAGTCATTATTGCTCTAAGTTTTCCACCACATTTCAGGTAACTTACCGCAAATTTCAGACCCCAAATCACCAGATACTGATTTTCATGAACAGAAAAAAGAAAACTGAGAGAACATTAGGTCAGTTCTTGCATGCTGGTTATAAGCTATGTGAAGATCCAACATGAAATATACTGCAGAACTTCTTCAGTAAAGTAACTCAAAYACCTCCCTCCAAACCTACCCCGAGTAATTAAGATATTGATTTAGATAAACAAAAATAACTAATTCATTAGGTGTCAGTAGGTCTTAAAAAAAAAAAGAGGGAACATTGCAAAGAAAATCAGGGAAATGTTTGTGTCTTTGAGAAGACACAGGAGAAGGAACCATTTTTTTCATATTGCTTGACATGGGATGTGTGTGGCAATGAAGTTTGTTTAGTTGAGCACCACTTTGTGGCGCTCTGGCACATAAATGCTTTGTAGTGGGGGTTATTGTTATGACTTAAAGATTCAGTGAAAATACAGTGACAGCAACTGGCCTGGGGAGAAAGGGTTTGTTGGAGAAAGGAAAGTGGAAGAGTGGAGTGGGTAGAGACCCTTTTAAASATTTGCCTTTATGAAGGGGGTTATTTTTCTTTTCAAATCTTATACCTTACAATTTCCTTCACAGTTTCTGAGCCAGAGTCTCTTAGAGGGGCGATGTCCATATTTTTCATCACTAAGAGGAAAGTAATTTCAAGGTGATTAAAAAGAATTACTTATGTGGATGTCCTCATCTATTTTCCTGTCTGCTAAAAGTTAAGGTTATGCATGACTCCCTCTACTTTTGCTGTACTAAGAAAATGATAAGATAAATATGAAATGAATTAACTGGGTATTAAATATATGAAATGACTTTTAGTAGTTATTTTTTCCCCCTGCATATTCTCACCTGTACAAAATCAGATCTTGACCCGGTAATAAGTGTGAGGATGCATGAGGCAGACATACTACAGCTAAAAATGGTTAGTAGCAGAGATTTGCAAGACAAAACAATAGATTTATTACTGGTGTCTGGCAGTTCGATTCTGCATAATTAATTCTGGACAGGAATAAGTCCTTTTGAAATAAAAATGGTGCTATTTCTAAGCAACTGCACTTTATTATAGGATACATAAATCCTTGGGTAATACTGCATTCTATGCATTTTGCATTCTTCATTCAGAAAGGATCATCAGCTGTTTTCCACAATCTAAAAAAAAAATAGCAGCCCTATAGGAAGGCAGCAGATGACTTACAGTTAACATTTCTGAAAATTGGTTGTTTCAGATTTGAAGGGGAAAAGCCAATGTCCAGTACAAAGCTGGAAATGTATTCCGTGACAAATCTTTTATAAAGTTTATACATATATATTTAACCCGTATACTCCATGTGTGCACATACTGTAATGTCTTTCTTAGAAGGCAGCAGTTGGAAAGGTGAAATTATTTCAGAAATGCAAAAAGCATTATTGCAGCTTTTTCACCACTGTCTTTCTTTCKGTCTTTTTTTTTTCCCTGGAAATCGTTTTTTTTTTTTTTTTCCTTTTTCCTTTATTGTGAATRGTAGTTTGATTTAACTCTGGGTAGAAAACATAATTCAGCTTCCGAATTATGGGATGTTCTTCTTCAAATCTCTTGCCTTTTCAGATTAAAATTCAATTCTGCCTCACAAACACAAAGTAGAAAGATCTGGGCTTTGCTAGAAGGTGATTGAAGACTCGGTCCCTGCCTACCTCACAAGAATATTGTTAAATCACTTAAAATTACTATTTAATTGAAATTATGGCTTATGTAGTCTGTTGTAGAGTTGTGCTATGTAGAGTAGCAGGAGGTTATAGAATTACACTATGTATTTTCTTGAAAAATTTGGCTTGTGGGRCTGGGGAAGGCTCCTTCCTACAAGGTGGAATTACACAGGGTAATAAAGAAACTGGAAGAAGAAATGGAGACTCACTAAAATATCACAATACTCTCCAGGAAGACGACACAAAAGCAGCCTAATTTTTGACCTAAGAAGTACAGAGAAGGAGCTGAACTACTTATTCAATTATGTCAAATGATCAGCATTCATTTATTAAGCGATGTAAAGTGAAATTCAATTAGAGCAAGTAAGTGATTACATTATGTAAAGCAATTTTTAAAACTGGGTAATGTGATCACCCTTCATTTATTACATTAGATTCAGAATATTGGATATTGGTACTGTTATTAAATTCATGGAAATGCTTATAATGATGGACAAGTTAAAAAAGAGTTTGCAAGTAAAGCCACTCCTCCTTGTATTCCTTTTTCAGTAGTGMCTATGCTGCTATTGCTTTCAAAGTGAAGGCTCTGACTTTACTGTAGCATTTTTCTTGTARGTAAAATTTTGTATACACATCTTGTAAAGATAATTTATAAAATGTCCAACACAGGGGGAAAAGGATCACCATCTTGGCAGTGGGGAGGGAAGGGGATAAATTGGGTACTAAAATTGCAAGCTTATAGGAAATGTAYTAATGTATTATGACAATGAAATAACTTCATATCTTTCTACAGGATTAGATTTCCAATTCTGCAGACTGATAGCATGAAAGAATCCCCTCTGAAGATTTTATGGAGACTTTTGGAGTGGGACAATGAAAAAATGTGACCCTGTTGTCCACACAGAGGTTGAAATTGCATACTACTCTGTTAGCACATTTTCTCATGATTGTACTTGACTAAATMATAAAAACTTTTTCCTCATGTCTCTTAAAATGCCCCTTTTTGCTACTCAACCATTTATGTTGTAGAGCTGGAATGGAAATATAAGAAATTATTAGAAATAGGATCCATTATTAAATGGTCTTCTTTTCTCATAGTACTTGGTAAAAGAATATTTGTCTAAGGACTCAAGTACCAATTTATTTATGAAATTCAGGTGTTCTTGTGGCCAGAACTTTTTAATATCTTAAAGAGTGTCTGCTTACTGCCTGAGCCAGGTGCAAAATCCCTAGGAGTCTATCGAAATCTAAAATGAATCTAAGTGTGMAACTTTATGCTGATTACTTGCTGTGTGGGAGAAAACAGCATTTCAAACTTAAGGTAAGAATTGCTGCGCAAGTGGCTCAAAACAATATCCATGTAGAAAAGGTAGCAGATTTTAGGATGTCTGGAAGTGTTATTTTAAGTATTTTTAGTGTGTTGTTTGGCTGACAGAAGTAAAAATCCCTGATGTTTCCATTTTGTTTTGTGTGGTTCTCCTCTGTGCTGCACAGGATTTTTATCAGGAGTAAGCTGGAATATCTGTATCAGAGAACCTCTGTAATTTCATTTAAAGAAGAGCTCATTTTCCAAACTACCGGATTAAAAAAATACAGCTCACACTACATTAAATATTATTTGCATATTTTTTTTTCCAGGGCAGTTTGGTCTGGATGGAAAAAAGTGGAAGGGTTTGTTAAATGTTGCAAGACCACAAAATGATAAAAATAAGAAATTAAATAGGGAGGAGAACCAGTGACTGTTGGGCTCTAATTGAGGAGAAAATGGTGAGAGAAATGAGTAATGCAAGACTATGAATACAAGA